AAACTTAAAACATATCTCAAAAAAACTTTGTATTAAAGAATCAGATAATTATCAGACATCCAGCAACACTGCAGACTGCTCCCACCCTTGTGCCAAGGTTAGGCGAGTACGTACTTGCGTAGATTAGTGAGATACAAAGTTGAAAATAAACACATACTAATCTAAGTAACATGTAGCCTCGTTACTTCCCAACAATTAATGTAGATCAGCAATAGCATGTACTAACACTACAGCACATACCACATTTCATTGATATATCTATATTAAAGCATTTTTGAGATATTAATTAAAAACTTGGAAAATATTTTGAATATTTTTACTGCAAAATTTCATAAGAAAAACCAACTTGCAATTTATAAATAAAAATTTATATTAATTATGTATATTAAAAATACTTCTTACTTCATTAAAACTGCAAGAAACATGTTAAAATATATTTTAATAATAATTTGTGTAAAAAGAAAATGTGATGATTTTTGTCCAGGAAATCCAAAATAAATTTGAAGTACCTTAAGTGGTTAAGATATCACAAGCAGGTACATTATTAAAAAATGCACTGCTTTTGTTAATTGCTTTTCAGGGATCATAACAAGAAACATTTGGATGCGGTAGCAGCACAGGAAGATTTGGCCATGGCTTCAACAAAAAAACAAAAAAGAATCAAATCTGCCCCCCATGACTGATAGCCGATTTATGGAAAAGGATCTCAACGATGTCTTTACTTTTGAATTTGAAAAGCCCAAATTTGGGCTTTTGGGAAAAACAAAGAAGAAATCGGCAACGTACAAGGTGGAAAAGGAAGTGAATGGTGAGCTCAAACCATGTAGCTTCAAGACAAGTGAAGCAAGTGCCATGAAAAGTTTCAACCTTTGGCGGCATGTAAAACGTAACCATCCTGAAAACTATGCACTCTGGTTAATAAAAAGGACCAGGAAGATGAGGCAAAACAGAAAGCTGACGCAGCTAAACAACGTTCATCTGGCTCTTTGAAAACTCCTGGAGAAAATATTTTTTGTGAAACTTCATTTGAAAAGAAACCCAAAATTGAGCAAACAAAACTGGACTCATATTTTAAGTTCTCAAAGGTTACAGTCACCATGGATGTTGATAATTTTCATGAAGGGCTGATGGAAATGGTTTGCTTGAGGTCAACACCACTCACTACCTTCAGGCAAAAGAAGGTAAAGAACAAAGGATTCCAAAAAATTGCAGGTGAAATGGGTCGGCAGCTTGGCGTTTTGACAGGGCATGGTGTTGTTCGTCATTTAGTTGTCAGCACATTGAGTCTGGTCATGAAAAGCTCAAGAAAGCTTTGCAGCAAAAATTGTGCTACCTGAAAATAGATGTGGCAACCTGTGGAAACAAATTTCCTTGCAATCAATGCTCAATACTACGAAGGAAGAAAAGATAAAGCTGTGGTTAAAACCTTGGACATAATTGACACTGAAGGGCGACACAATTCTTCCTACGTGAAAAGTCAAGTAAAAGCTATTTTAGAAAAATTTGGGATCAGTGAAATGTACGAGCTGAGCATCTGTGTTGACAATGCAGTAAACATGACATGTGCAGTCAAAAATTTCAGCGAGGACAATGAAACCATTTCTACCTCTGAAAACAGGGATGTGGACAGAACTGAAGCTATTTTGCCTGATGAAGGAACTAAAGGAATGGATGAAATCGAATTCAACATGGATGCTGCTGTGCAATGGGTTAATGACCCTAGCCTCATACTTTCAACATGGCTTCATGAGGATGACTCAAAAGTCCAACTGATGAGGTGTGGTATTCACACTGTTCAGTTGGCAATCTGGGATGGACTGAACAAAACATGCAAAGAAGTCTCTGGCAAAAATTCGACAAGTCGTTTTCAAACTACGAACCCCAAGAATTCGAAGTGTTCTGCTTGATCTACATGGGGTAACTCAGTCATTGGATACTGTGACTCGCTGGGGTTCAACATTTGCGATGATTGATTGGCTTCTCGTTTTCAATCTTACTGTGAACAAGTGGCTGCTGCTGGAACAAGAGAACTCAAGTTAACAAAAGCTGAATGGGACGAAGTGAAGAACCTGTGAAACCCCTTGGCAAAGCCAAACCAAATAACTGTGAATCTTCAAGCTGTTGATGTAACTCCGGGAGTTTTAATGAAGGAATGGTGAAAACTGTCAAAATTCTTGCAAGAAAATGGTGGACAAATTGCAGAAGGAATTCTATCCTCCATGCAGAAATGCAAAAAGAAGCTTTTTGACCATATTAATTTCCTTGCTGACCCACGGTATCAGATTCGTCTTACCTCAAGGGAAATACCAAAGGCAAAGGAAGGGCTCCTTGATATTGCTCGATGACTTGAAAAACAAAATCTATTGATACATTTGAACTCAGAGAAAGAGGTTGAAGAAAATGAAACACAACAAAAAGAATCCTCAACAATCAAATTTGCGATTTTGGAAAGTTCACATTCTTCAGAAATAGCAGGCTGTTCTCAAACTTCCATCTCCACTCTGAACTTGTTCGAGCGTCCATCCCTGAGACATCTTCAACCATCACAAGGAAATGGAGATAGTTCAAGCACTAATTCTTCAAAAGAGGACGACTTCAAAAAGGAATTGGATAAACAAAAAAGATACTGACGAGTTTCTGTGATTCATAATTGTAATGAAGCACTATTCGAGAGAAACTTTCGGGAATATTGTGAGGCAATGGAGTCTATTGGTAGGCTAAAAGTTAAGTCTGTGTTTGAGGCCATTTACAGCTACCCACACCGCCTTCAGGCTGCCTGTAGAATTGCTTCAAGCATGCCAATAACTCAAGGTAGTGTAGAGCGACTGTTTTTGGCTTTAAAGTTCATTTTAAATGATCTGCGGCAGGCTATGGAAGACGACTGGATTGCTTCAATAATTTTTTACAGATTGAATTATGAATGATTCTAGTTTGTATCATTGTTGATGACATTTAAATTGTTTTAAAACTGAATAAAAATAATGTTTTTTTTCAAAATTACAGTATGCACTTTTTTATTTAATTAAAGATTAATTTGAGTCGGAGAATGGAAGGGAGTTGGAGCAGAGCTGGAGCAGTCACTGTTGGTGCTGGAGCGGAACAATTCAATAATTTGATTGCTCCAAATCCCTGGTGCTGGGGAAGGAAGAGGGAGCAGGAAGCATTGTTGTGGGATGGGGGGGGGCGGAGGGAAGGGAGCTACATGTTACAAAGAAAGGCGGGGCCAGGGATAAAGGGGGATAACACACACACCACTCTTCTCTCACACTCTTGAAGTTACTGAAACAACCAAGTCATCAAAGTCAAATGGTTATAGGCCATGGATGAGCTTTCGTTCACCAACCCTATTAGTAACTACACACTGCAAATGTTTCTGAGCACAACCATTATCCCCAGGCCACTATAACAACATATACAGGAGCAGGGGGGAGAACTGAGGTCACATAGTAACATTTGGACTAATGGAAAGACCACTAGACTTGGACTATTCCTTGCTCTGCTACTGGCCTGCTGGGTGACCTTGGGCAAGTCACTTCACCTGTGCCTTAGTTTGTCATCTCCAGCAGAGAGTTACTGACAAAGTTCTTGGAGCTTTACTGATGAAAGTACTGTATAAATTCTAGGTCTTTTGATTATTACCTAGGTAGAGTAGCATATCAATTGTAAACCTAGATGATAATAGCAGCCATTTAGCCAATTGCTATCTCCTATAACAAACATTTCTGGAAATACTGAGTTAAGATAGACAATCACGTAACCTTAACTCTGACCTCTGTGTCATGCCCCACAACACCTATATAACTTCCACTTTGCCTCTTCACTGTAATGGACATGCTCTATCTGCCCTTGACCTAGACTCAAACACTGAGCTTGCTCCCCTGACAGAATTCCACTCCTGCAAAAATTTAGAAACCACTTCATAGCCTTTTACAACCCCTTCACACTTTCACAAAGGATACCACCTAACCTAGTACTTTCCCCTACCCATTATTAAAGCCACAGTCTGCTCTAAAATCCCACCTTACTACTACAATACCGATGGCAAGAAGATCCCAGTGTCCTGCTACTGACACAAGCTACACAATTCTGTTTTAAAATGATGCAGACTGGAATTTCTGTTGATGAAAAACACTATATAAAAGCAAGGTCATAGGTCACTGTGGCTTGGTAATAATTACATCAACTGCAAATCTAGGTGTGAAAATAGGCACAGATTCAGACCCAGATCTTGTCACATCACAATCACAGCTCACCAAAGCGACTCCAAATTATTCCTGCACCAAATACACTTTCATTTAGCAAGAAGGGAATGCAACTGGAGTGCATGCAGATAATTCCCAGTGGCAATTGCCAGCACCAGCAGGGCAGAGTTAAGTATTTCCTGGTTTGAGTTTTGCTGAACTTGAAATTTTGGAAGGACACTATCACTTGGAAACCTTAATTGGGCATTTACCAAGCTCCTTGCCATCTAATAAAGCTCTTCAGATGCACAGCACTTGCCCAATACTGCTTTCCTCACATCTAAAATTCTCACTGAAGTCAAGGGAAATGAAAATCAATGGAAACTCTCACTAAAGACAGCACAAAAAGGAATTCACACTGGAAAAACCCCCCCACCAATCCAGGGAATATTAAACACTTGATCTTTTAGGTGTTATATTGCCTAGAAAATAGCACTTCATCTTCTGTTACATGCAATGGTCCAGCATCTGCACTGAGACACCTATGCAAACTCCACTGACGTCAGTGGGGCTCACATACGTAAATTGAGGGCAAAATTTGTCCCACTGCAGGTGGAGTGAAGAGCCAGTTCCAGACATGGATCCCACAAACTCCAAGTGTTGAATATTCCACAGTTCAGTTCATTTTTATTATTGGGCATATTCCTAAGTAGGCTGCATACATTTTTAGAATCCCTTGTCTTGTCTGCATGTTACAGCATTACATTAGGCCTTAGAAGAATCATAACTCTGTGTACTGGAAACCTTTTCCTTACTTACCAATATGCTGCTGTTCTCCAGTTGCAGCATATGCTTTGCCCAATAACAGCCCCGTCTGAGCAGCTTCAGCACTAAGTTTCTTGTGCAGAGCCACGCAAATGGAATGTGCCTAACAAAGATGGAGATGGAGATTATTATGCTAAATTAACACTGTTCACTGGTACAGTAAGTAGCCTTCTTCAGAGATGGGTAACTATTTTCGTAGACACCACCACCTTTGCAGAGTTAGCCACAGATGTAGAAAGGAACCAACCCTTTGGAACAAGAAAATTCCACCAAACAAAGATTTCTTGTTTATTAATAGAAAGAAGTAGAAGCTTCCAACCCATGAGGAGTTAGACGTATGTATTCCCAGGGCTTTGCTCTGAACCTACATTAAAAATGGAGGCTATTTTCAAATTCTGGTTCAGGTCCATATTTAGATTAATGGTGTTTGGAGCCGTTTTTAACTTTTATCCCTTTGGTCTGTAAAGATGGTGGTGGATTATTTAAACAGTGTGAAGTAGTTTTGTGTGGTTTCAAAGCTGCAGCTACTGGTTTGCCTCTACTTGATGTGGCAGACTGTTAAGTCAGGGTTTTCACTCTCCAGACCCACAGAGCGGGGAGCAAAATTATGCAGGAAATTACCATGTGACAATGGTAAAGAATCAAACATCACAGAAGAGACTTTTTAGTAGACTAGGAGAAACAGTATTATCCTCTGAATTGCTCAGAGGGCTTGTCTTCACTGAAGAGTTACTTTAACTATGGTACCCAAGTTAGTGGTAACACACAGCTAAAAACCCTTAACACCATTGCATCTGATGAAGTGGGTCTTTGCCCACGAAAGCTTATGCTCCTACACTTCAGTTAGTCTATAAGGGGCCACAGGACTCCTCGTCGCCTTAACACTATTGTAGACTCGCCCATCAGGGAACAGAAGCTATAGCCCAAATTAGCACAACCTGTCAGCAGCTAACACAACCACTCTGTGCAGGTCAAGTGTTTATTTTTCCCCCACCATGGCCATCTCATTTGAGCAAGGCCACTAGAGGACTTGATTTGAATGTAGATGCTTAGGTTAACTCTGCAATAGAGACATAGCCTTAGCCTCACTGTGGAGGAGATGCTTGGGATTTGGTTAGGATGGGCAGGTATTTGTTTTTTGACCACAAAAACCAACTGAAAAGGGTCCAATCAGATCTACTGACCTGGCATCAAAAGTCTGATAATGGCAGGGGCCAGGGATTGGATCATGGTCATCACCTGTGCTAGCTCCTACTCAACCAAGGCCTCACTTCCTATCTGTGATGGACTGCTGAAGCTCCCGCACCTGACTAATAGGTAACAGGTTTAAAACAATCAAAAGGAAGTATTTCTTCACACAACACTTAGTTAACCAGTGGAACTCCTTGCCAGAGGATGTTGTGAAGGCCAGATCTTTAACAGGGTTCAAAAAAGAGCTAGATAAATTCATGGAGGATAGGTCCATCAATGGCAAAAGCTGGAAATGGGTGACAGGGGGTGGATCACCTGATGATTACCTGTTCTGTTCATTCCTGCGACAGGATACTAGGCTAGATGGACCTTTGGTCTGACCCAGTATGGCCATTCTTGTGGCTCTGCAGGGAAGTCCCTCCCAATCCAGGCAGAGGGAAGAGGAGAAGGGCAGAGATGGTGAGTTCTATGGGCCTGAGGGGCCTAGGCTCCAACAACACTGGGGATGGGTCTGTCACCCAGCCCTACCTGCTGACCCCCATGCATCTCCCCCAATTGTCCCTGACAGCTGCCTCATCTGAGAGATCTGACCTGCTCCCTGCTCTTCCTGCAACAAGCAGCTCTGCTCAAAGTACTCTTCCTTGCTGTCCATTGCCATTGAAGCCTGGCTATAGGGAGCAGCACTGGCATCAGTCTGACTGGTGTGTCTGTGGAGGGAAGGAGGCACATGGCAATCCCTTCCTCTCAGGTTACTCCAAGTGGACTCCTTCCTGCCTGGGGCTTACGTGAGTGCATATCATGCTGGAAGTGGGGGGAGGAGAGGAAGGGAATGAGGGGGGGAGGGAGAAGGAAAAGAGAGGAACTTAGCCCTAGCCCTTTCCAAACCGCTATTTCCAACTCAACTTGAATCATAGCCCTACTGCACTCTACTAAGGATGTTAAGGACTAGTAGAGGATCCAATAAGCAAATGCTTATTGGATAGTCCAGTCGACTAGTCAATTCTCCCCCACATTGCTGCCTCTATCAGACAGGGGACGAGAGGGTACTTTAAAGCATCAGTGTTCCAAAGGGGCAGTATCACACAGCTGATCCCGGGCTCTGTGCGGCGCTGCCCCTTTGCAATGCTGCTTCGGAGCTGACCCCAGGATCAGCTGTGCGGCTGGAGCTCTGCTACATTTCAAAGGGAATGTGGAAGTGCCTATTGACTAGTCAAGTAGTTGATGGAAATTCCATCGACTATTCAACTAGTAAATTACCCGTTAGTTAACATCCTTACACTTTACCCCTCTTCCCAGCCCTAAGCCACTTCCACACCCCCAAACCCTCATCCCCACCCCAGTGCCCATATTCCTGCACCCTAAACCCTCTGCCCTAGCCCCAAGTCCCGCCCAAAAGCTTCATCCCCAGTCCTACCCCAGGTCCAGAGTACTCACACACACCCCCACACACCTTTACAAGGCAGGTGTGTGGGGGGGGGGGGGGGAGCAGGACTTGGTACCATTCTGGGCATTGCCAAAAATTATACTAACCTGCTGCCAGTGGGGTGGATTCCAGCACTCCTGCTGGAGTGTTCATTTTTAAAATATTACAAAGTTGGAAACCCTAGACTTTCCTCATATCCAGGACTCCCTAGTACATATTTTATACACCCCTTCTCACAGCAAACAAGAGGCAGAGCAGCAGATGGCAGTGCAACACACATTTTAGCTCTAATTCAATCCTGGATGCAATTTTTAAACTATGTTACTATTTATTAGAGGCACCCCAATCTCTTTTCTTCCATTGAGATTCTAATGCTGTTCCCATCACTGATGTCTGAGTGCTCAAATCCCACAAGAGGTGGGCCAACAATGCAGAGGACTTCTGATTAAGGAGCAATGTCTCTTATAATGAAGATAATTCAAAATGCAGTTCTACTCAAAGTGGGCAAAAACGGTCTCTTCTTACTGCTCAGACCAGGTGTCTGATTATTCAAAGTCACAGCTGCTGGCTTGAATGGCAAAGTATGTCTTTCAGCCTTGTAGAGCTCACAGAGCAATGGGAAACCAAGCTGGGTTCTAGTCATTGTGCAGCATCACCAGAACTGTTTGCTAAGCAACAAGGCCAAACTGTGTACTACCCCAAACTGCTCTAAGGCTGAACAAGTGCCTCTGAGGGCATGACTTGGCATGCAGAATATTTATTACAGGTGCTGCCTTCAGAAGACCCAAGGCTAGTTTCATAGAATGGGCAGTTAGAGGGAAATCTTTTTTTAATTGTAAACTGAGCTCAATTTGGTAAGGAAAGAATAGAGATACAAACAGGATTCACATATGAGATTTTTTAGGCAGTGACTTTTTAGAGTAGAACTCTCTAAAGAAATTCCAAGAATAATTTCTCTTACACATTTAAACATCACTAGCTACTCCTCTGAGATTTTATATATGTTAGTAAAGCTCTTTTCATAAGCAACTACATTATCTGTGAAGGTGGATAGGAATTTTAATGAACAAGAGAGGGGTAAATTTCACAATTGTGTGAAGTGGGTGTCACTTCACTGATGTCAATGAAAATCTTGCCTGCTTATGTCAGCAATGACTTTGGTCTTACATGCCATTATTAGGGCCAATGTGGCTATTCTTGTTCACTATGCTACATTCACATCCTTGGCTATGTTTCCTGTTCAGATTCTTCAGCAGATCCTTGCTAACATTACTATCAAACAAATGAATTAAACTTCAATCATAGCAGCTAATAGCTGTGATTTTCACTTAGTCCTGCTGTTCTAACAAGATTTATAAGATGTCCTACCTGTAATAAATATCCTATTGCTCTTTCATGGTTTTTTTTCAGCTGCTCACTTTGGGCAATTTTCTGATAAAGATGTATCAGTTCTGGAGCGGTGTCTCCTTCAGCTGAAATTACAGCATCAACCGCTTTTTCAAAATAACCCGTGGCAAAGACCAATTTGTTTTGCTGCAAACATGTCCTGAAAGAAAGTGGGGAAAGTTAGGTTCTCTAGTAAAAATATTGTTGTGCACATCACTGGATAAATGCTTTTTCCCCCTTGCACACACCAAACTCCCAATGAAGTCTTTTACCCTTGTACTAATCCATTTTTTGTTGCAAATGGAATTATAACGTGTGATTTACATAAAAGCCCCAGCTCCTACACATAAGGTTCACTTAGGTTTTTTTGTTTGTTTACCTGCCCAGTGCAATGACTAAATCTTTCTCAGATATTTTTAATCCCACGGTCATTGTCCCATTCAGTTCTTTTAGTTCTTCCATGAGTCTCTCTGCCTTCTGCAGACTAAGATAGGATTCTTTGCCAGTGGGACAGTCAAGGAAAAAACACAGTCTAGTAAACAAACAAAACGAAACAGGCAGAAACAAACCAGAAAAGAATCATTTTTGTAGCGCTATCTTTTGTAATATAATTAATACACATTTGAAGCTTTGGATTTCCTGTCACACACTTACAGGAGATAGATTTGAGGAACTTAGTCAAGGGATATAGTAAATTACGTTATTCATTACAATCCATTGTCATCTTTGTTTTCAAAGATCTGCAAATGTACCACATTCCATCCTGAAGCATTTACAAATAAAGAGAGAATGAAGAACACAAGATAACAAGGATTAGGGAGAGCGTGAATATGAGGGATGGTGGGAAAGCAGGAAAAGGAAAGGGTTTAAAATTCTTTGCATTGATTTTTCATCTGGGCTTCATGTAGGATTTTTGGCTTGGTGGAGCCTTTTAGTGAAACGTTACCATTGTACAAATCCTATTTGATATCCTTTTCTGCAACAAAACTCTAAAGAGAAATAAAAATATCAGGGTCGATGCGTAGCTCTAACAGCAAAATAGGATTGGTGAGTAAAAAGTGTGTAGAGGATGTGCCGAACAGGAGACATTTTTCACAGATTTAAGTCCAAAAGGTTCCATTAAACTATCTAATATGACCTCCTGTATCACACAGAACTTAAAAATTTCATCCGGTTTCTTCTGTTTAGAGCCTAATATACTTGTATTTGAATAAAATGTATCTTTCAGAAAGACATTTATTCTCAATTTGAAGACTTCTCATGATGGACAATCCACCTAATGGCTAATCATCCCAACTGTTAAAAATGTGTGTTTTTAGTTTTAATTCCAAACTTGGCTCTGACATTGACTCCTCCTGTAGTCTTGGGAAAGTATTTAACCTATTTGGCCTTGATTTCCCCAACTGTAATAAGAACAAATGCCCACCTATCTCACAAGGATGTTGTGCCACTTGAATACTTAGTTATTGTATAGAGCACTTGGAAGAGGAATAATACTACATAATAAATACTGACAATTATTATATAATAGAAGATTTACCCAGTGTTGCTCTGGTCTTTAATTCAATTAATTTTTTGTTTTTCTTCATCTAAATCATTGCTCTGGGGTGGGGCTGGGGATGAGTTCAGTATGCAGGCTGCCCCTGGGAGAGAGGACTACCTCAGCCCTCTCTCACTGCAGCACGTTGGGGCCTGAAGAGGAGCATCTCTCCATGGCCACTGCAGCTCCAGTGGGCACAGCCGGGGGAGGGGTGCATGTCCTTTAGCTGCGGGACAGACAGAAACACAGACAAACTCAGATATACTGTCGATAGCTGTCTCTGTCTTAACCCCTGCAGGGTTATAGCTACCTAGGTCCCCATCTCTCGCCCATTGCTGCCCCCCCCCCCCATTATAGTGTTACATTATATAGTGTAACTGTCCCTGCTTTCCATTCCAGATCCCCTGCTGCCTCACTGTGGTCATTATATAGCACAGCCCTCCTATTCCAGGCACATCCAAACCCTGACCTTGCTTTAAATTATGATAAGAGGAAGCTGCATACCAAATTTGGTGTTCCTAGCTCTTACCTTTTAGGGAGAGTTCTTAGACAGAGGGACAAACTCTCTCAAATATATAGTATTCAAATGTGTATTAGGCATTTTAATAATGAAGTAGTATTGTCAAATGGAAGGATATTTGTTCTGTGCCAGATGTGCTACGCCCAAGGTATAGTAGATAGTCACAAGAGTTCCTAATATTTCTATTTTGTCCTCTGGAGGTATATGATTCCCAGTCAGCATGGTACGTTTGGCTGATTCAGCATGCTCTATGGCTTGTGCAGGAAGACCTAGGAGAAGACAATGAATGAGCTTATTAAAAACAACAGCAACTTCAAACTGAAAATAAGTATCAATTTAGACACTAAAGGTGAAATCTCAGTTCTGCTAAAGTCAATTGACTTTATTGGGGTCAGGGTTTCACACCAGACGTATAAGAAAAAATAAGGAGAATTTCAGGGGGACCTTAAAGGTATTTAATACAGACATAAATCAATAGCTATCAGAACAATTGTGTAGATGAAAGTGTAACAAGTAGGGAAAACAGGCAGATGAAAGCACACAGCAGTCATAGCTCGCACAACATTCCCCAGGTGAAACAACTTTTAGGGGACTTGCCATGTTTTATCATTAATAGTCCTAATGCATCCTTCTTCCCATACAATGCACCCAAACATCAATACAGCACACCCCCATCATTCTTGTGATGAGTGGAAAACCTTCAGGAAGAAAACAACTCATTGTTGTATGTAAAATGCAGGGCTGGCCTCAGGGCCAGCCCGAGCCATTTTGGCGCCGTAGGCCCCAGGTGCACGGCACCGCCCCCAGAGCGCACGGCCCCGCCTCTGGGCACACGGCACACGTGCAGGCCTGCCCCCGGGATGTGCAGCCCCTCCTCCGGGCACAGGACGCATGCGCGGGCCAGCCCCCAGGACTCATGGTCGGATGCACGGCGCATGCACTGCCCAGTTGGCCCAGCCACCGCTGATAGTGTGCAGCCCGGGGCGGGCTGCACCTGGCCGTGCAGGGCCCTGCGGCCACTGGGGGAAGGGCGCTGCTTAACACAGCCCCTGTCCTGGGCGGCTGCTGCAGCCCGCCGGGAGCCAGGCGCCCCCCCATAGATTGGTGCCTGGCTAGCCCACCCCTTAGCCCGGCCCTGGCTGGCCTAACCATGAGGCTAACTGAGCCTCAGGGGCCAGACTGTGGGGGGGCGCCATTAGGACCCAGAGTGTAGAAAATTGTGTCTGCTGCTGGTGCATATGCATTCTCTCTGCTCTAGATGCACAGAGATGGTGGAGTGCTGTGCTGGAGGAAGGAGGGCACAAAAGACATAGGCTGGCAGGAGAAAAGGTGGCATGGGGTAGTCATTTCAGCTCCCTGCCTCAGGTGCCAAAATGTTGTGGGCCGGCCCTGGTAAAATGATACAGCAGCCAGGAAAGTAAAGCAGTTCTGAGTACAGTATTTGCATATAGCTGGCCAGATTCCATTTCTGTGGGACGCTGGTTCACAGATGCCATATTCTAGTTTAGGAAAGCATGTCAGTAAGCCCCAAAACAAATCCTCAGCTGAGCTGGAAATAGTTGGCCATAATCCCATTTCAGGGATCTCTGCCACAAATTTTCTCTTTCCACGTACCTTCTTTTTCACCACCAGCAAAGGAGATAACCAGGATAAAACAGAGCTATTGCAAAATATTTTCCCTTTTTTCTTTACAGACTTTTTCTTATCATTACTACTTATCTCTATGGTGAGCACACATAGGCCCTGATTTTGATAGATATTCACACTGTACTCAAAGTTGCTAAATCCCTTTTCAAAATGAGATCTCGGCTCCTACATCAGCTAAGCATTGCAATGCTGAGCACAACATAGTGCTTTGTACAGGCAAGGCATAAGAACAGTTACTCTCCTGGGTTAGATCCAGTGTTTTTCTATGACCACGCCAGCTGCTTTAGAAAAAAAATGAAAACTGGATATAGGAGAAGTTTCTTCCAAACTTCCATCAACTAATAGCTGACTTATGATTGTACAAAGATGATTTTAAAAGTTAACAGGATTATAACTGTGGACATTTTCATTATCCATATAAATGTCTAATTCTTTTTTGAGCCCCACTAAACTCTTGCTTTTTGACTATATCAGGTGGCAATGAGTTACATTGTAATGTAAAAAGTGTTTTCTTACATCATTTTAAAATACGTTGCCTTTCAATTTAATTAAATATCTCCTTGTTTTTTTTCATAGGAAGGAATCATTTCAATTATCTCCCTTTTGAGATGGGGTGACAGTACTGAACACAGTATTCCAAGTGAGGGCATAGCATTGATTTATATAATAATGGCATTAGAGATTCATAGTTGTTGTTTTTTTTTAAACCAGAAGGGACTATCATGATCTAGTGTGACCTCCTGCACATCTCAGAACCAGGAATCTCACTCATTGTATCTGCATCATGCCTGTAACGCCTTTTTGAGCTATAACATATTTTTAGATAGAATCATTACAATATTTTACTGTTTTGTATGCTATTCTTAATATATTTTGTTCCCTTCTTTACAAGTATTGCACACTGAACAGAAATATGGACTTTACACATGAAGGGCACATCTATGCATCTGGTGTAAAGCTGAAATAAGCAACACAACTTGAGCTACATCAATTGAATAGCTTAGGTCGAAATAGCTTTTTTCAGCTTTTGGCGCGGTCTACACAGCAGGAAGCCCGAGAGAGCACTCTTCCTCCGATTTCTCTTACTCCTTGTAAAATGAGGGTTACAGTTATTCCGAAATAACACTGCTGTGTAGACGTTCCCCTATTTGCTACATTAGTTACACTAATTCTCTCTGGCATGAGAATTACATTCCTTTAGACCACAATAAAGAGGACGTATGCAAATATATAAGGAGATCTGTCTGACAGCAAGGAGAGATAATTCCCTGAAATTGTTCCAAGACATTTAGGATTCTGTGATTATGAAACTCAAGGAATTTACTCACTTTTGATACAAACAACATTTCTTGTATTTCTAAACATCAGTAGCTCTCAAAGCAGATCCTTAAGAGATCTGTGCTCAGGGAGTATCTCAGTGTATATTTTAAAATTCAAATTAAAGGTAGATGGCAGCACTACTCCAGTTTGCACATTTCTATAGGTCAGTACAATTATTCTGATCACTCTTAGCATACATATTAGTGTAGCTCACTCCCCAGGCAGAAATATCTGATGCAATCCAGGAATGCATATGAAAACAGGAAAGCCTTGGCTGAAATTTGCCAAGGTCCTCCAGAAGCTAGATTTTTAGTCTGATATGCATAAAAAAGTTGAAAACTTGTCTTGTACATCAAATTTTTTTGTGAATAACAGAGTTGGGAGAAAAATAAGTTGAGGTACACTTAATCCACATAATTTCTATTAGGAACTGTGTTTTAGGTTTGCAACTCCATGAGTATTATGGACTATAAAACTGTTTCTCTTACGTCCATTGTTAACTTTGGAAAGTGAAATTATGAAAATGTAACCCCACTTCAATTTTAAAAATGACCGAGTACCTGTTTTTTTTTTTAATTCCCCTTCATTTGTAATCATTGTTATTGTGGCTCAAGGCCAGGTTATGAAGCAGACAAGATGACACAGCATGCGGAAATATAATTTCAGTTCTTCTTTGAGAAGGCGAAGGAGCCCCTCATGACATTTTCTACCACAGAACTGAAGTTAACTCTCAAACTTGCTTTGAAACGTATCTGTCCTCCTAATAGTGAAGCTTTCAGTCTGAGGAACCAACTTCAAAGCCACTTGCACATCCCTACATAGTGGCCACTCTCTAGTCTATACACCATGCCTCAATGCTGAATGTGCTAACCTACTCAAGTCAGTGTGAATCCTCTGGTGATCCAGATATTTCTGATTAAGTTAATGTTGCAGGACAAGCACGATGGGAAGAGATGCATCTAAGAAATGCATCATATTCAAGCCAGAAAAGCTGAAATTTGTTGTCATCTTGGTGCAACTCAGCAACCATCAGCCCACAGCTAGTCATGCCAAAACAAACTTCCATTCATCTGCTGAATGCATCGAAGGCCCCAAGTCAGACACATCAGGCAACATGTCCATGACAAATGGCATCAATTACATCAGAAAAACTCCACTTGGCAACACACAGAGCTGCTCTCCACCATCAAGTTAGACAATATTTTGAATGATATTAGGAGTGGCCCTGCTGCTCACTATGACAGCATATCACCAGAGCTCTTGAAACACCTCGGGACTTGAGCTCACCGGTGGCTGGTGCAGTTCTTCATGAGAGGCCTATGAAGAACAACTTCTGAAAACATGGTCAACAACAGAGGTCATTGCTCTCCTGAAACTGGGGAAAGAGCCACATGGTGTTGCAAGCTATCAACCGATATCTCTGTTTGTGCCATTCAAGGTGTTGGAGCATCTCATTCTTCAGGGTATCTTCCCAGAAGTGGAGTCAATACTCAGCATTAAACAAGCAGGATTTCAGAAAGATGGAAGCATCTACAATCAAGTGCTTTGAAAACATTAAGTAAAAGCAGTTTTCAGAAAAATCTGAAGACTGAGCCATATTGCCTAGCAGCATCATAGGATACAGTATGACACGTGGGGCTCAGCCAAATTATCATGCGCACTCCCAGTCATTGACCTCCTCTTGCAAAGGTATTGCTGAGTGCACATAGGAGTCAAAGTTAGTGTGTCGACAAGACAAACTAATAGTATACCCTAAAGCTCTGTGCTAGTACCGATGCTTTTCAGCCTGTACACGCGTGACCTTGCATACACCCAGTCCAGCAATGTCACATACACAAATGGCAATGTTAGGCCAAACTATGCAACTCCTTGCCAGAGGATATTGTGAAGACCAGGGCTTTAACAGGGTTCAAAAAAGAGCTAGATTCATGGAGAATAGGTCCATCAATGGCTGTTAGCCAGGATGAGCAGGGTGTCAGGGGTGTCACTTGAAGATTCCCTGGTCTGTTCATTCCCTTTGGGGCACCTGGCATTGGCCACTGTCAGAACACGGGATCCTGGGCTAGACAGAACTTTGGTCAGACCCAGTATGGCATTTCTTATTCTAAGAACTTGAGGACATCCTACCATTCTGACTTGATTAAGATAGCTGAATAGTGTAGTCAGAGTCATTTACAAGTGTTACCAATACAGTTTCCAGTGTGTTCTCTCTTTATAAAACCAGAGCAGAACCAAGAACTGAATATCTTTCTGAATGGACATTGCTTGAACCATGGATTACCACCGATTTTACCTCAGAGTAACTCTTGATATATTTGGCCAGCAGTTCATGGGAATCAAATGCTGAAATTCTCCAGTCAGCCAATTTAGCCCTCTACAACTCTACAGCAAAATACCTTGCTCTGGTCTGGTTCCATCAGTCTCATGTCAAACTGGATGACACACAACTACACTCAGGGTATGTCTACAGTACCCTCCTATTTCGAAACAGGAGGGTAATGTAGGCATACCGCAATTGCAAATGAAGCCCGGGATTTGAATTTCCCGGGCTTCATTTGCATAAACCGGGCGCTGCCATTTTTAAATCCCGGCTGGTTCGAACCCCGTGCTGCGCGGCTACACGCTGCATGAACTAGGTCGCCTAGTTCGAACTACCTAGTTCGTTCCGCGTGTAGCCGCGCGGCATGGGGTTCGAACCAGCCGGGATTTAAAAATGGCGGCGCCCGGCTTATGTAAATGAAGCCCGGGAAATTCAAATCCCGGGCTTCATTTGCAATTGCGGTATGCCTACATTACCCCGCTAGTTCGAACTAGCGGGGTAGTGTAGACATACCCTCAGTCCTGAGCACTGAAATTGAAAGGATTCTGCCATACCAGTACCATGGCTCTCTGTTAAACAGCATTATTCCTTTATATATCATGAGAATTCTAGAGCCAGAATAACTTGGAAAACCTGGGCAAGCCTGAGTCTGCCACTAAACACAGAACTCTCTGACTACCCAAGAGTGTGCTTGTCATTGAGACACCCATTGTGGGCTCCAATTTCTCTATGGGCATTGATGTGAGGTGAAGAATGATCTGGGTCTGCAGCTGACCTCAGAAACCAGTTTCTTATAACTGACCTGACCATGCGTGTGCCTGGCTTTGATTTTCCACACTATTCAAGGGCCCTTCTGAACCTGATTTTGACTGGGCCAAGGTTTATGGGCAGGCATCCTTCATGCATTGGGCCAGTAAGAGCATCTCAGAGGCAGCTGACCAGATTTGACAATGGACTGAGGACTCTGCATTTCAATGATGAAGCTTGTACGCAAGTTGGCTTGGCAAGCTCCACATCCATGAAGTCATGATTTATGCAATGAGTGTGTTATAGCCAACCATAAGGCACAGATACAAGTGGACAGCTCTCTTACTAACCATCAGTCCTCAGCCAAATTCTGCTCTCACATATACAGATGTGAAACCATTAACTCAGCTTTGGCTCCAATATAAACTTATACCATGGATGAATTTTGCTCACTAATCTCTAGTGTTGGAAAAAATGAATTGCTATGCACTCTGAGGTGAAAACATGTGTTGACCCTTCTGATACCAGTGTTCTGTTTTCCCCCCTCTGTCTTATAGTGGCAGATAGGGCCTTGCAGGTCAGCTTTCTGGTGGAGGAGAAATCAGTGATGCAAATTCTGGGCATGTCCTAAGGGCAAATTCTGGGCATCTCCTTGCTTTATCACACATATACACTAGTCCGGGAAACGAAGAAGCTACAAACAGCTCCCAGGCAATCTCTTCTTTCAGAAGACTCAGACAGGCATTCCCAGGAAGATACTTTGTCTCCAGTACTTTTTCCAAAAACAGAAGATAAAGGCAGAGCACAAACTCTGTTATCTGCCAGAGAATTTCTCCAAGGCCAACTTCATAACAAAACTACCACCACCACCCCACTTCTCCATAAAGAAAAAACTTGCTTGCATGGTAAAAAGAATTTGTAAGATCCTGTGTAACATCACCAACCGGTGACTCCTACCATAACATGTCTTTTGATTACTAATGGAGCAAACCTGCAGATACATATGCATGCAAGTAAATTTACTCATCTAGTAGTCCCATTATGGGCTGTGCATAAATATTTGCAGGATCAAAGTAGTGATGCCAGTTTCACTATTTTCTAAGTTTTTGCTGTGGGATAATTGAAATTAGATTCTCACCTCGAAGGATTAGATAGCTGTGAGCCAGGTTGGCGAATGCTTGTGCCAGTTGCCAGTGACCATCTCCATAGATGATTCTAGTAAGAGCCACACATCTAATAAGCTCCCTGTTGGCTTTATGCACCTGAAGAACAACAAAGAGTAGAAATTACATTTGTATAAGCAGAAACATAATTTAGGGGTCTGTTCTTCCCCCAGAGTTTTTTTTCAATCTTGGTGGGAAAGTGTCTACATATCAACTAAAATAAAACCATCTGTCCTCTGTTCATCTATTACTGGAATATCATAGTCATGAGTCAGTGTGGTTTTTTACTGTCGGGCCAGATTTGTCCCATTCCAGAACAGTAATGGGGAGGGAGAATTTCTGCAGCAAAGGGTTGGCATAAGAAGTCCTGTATTGCCCATATTAGAAGGAAAGACAGGGCTGAAGAAAGGGGGGGAAGAGTAATTACATCTCTCACGATATGTCTACACAGCAGAGGGTTTTGGTTTTTTTGAAAAACAGCCATTTTTCCAAAAAAATTTCACTTACATCCACACTGCAATCGTGCTCTTTTAAAAAAAAATATTCGAAAGAACAGAGAGTTTTTTCCAGAATTGGTAAACCTCTTTCTGCAAAGAAGAAGCCTTTTTCCGAAAGAGCCTCTTTCAGAAAAAGGTGTGTATGGACTGTGAAGAGGGAGCTCTTTTGAAAGAAGAGAAAAGAGGAAAAAGCACACATACCCTGGTGCCCACTCCATCCATAGTAATCACAGCTGAAATGCGAGATAGCGTCCATTCAGTGTGGACGCCTTTTGAAAAAATAGATCGCTTTTTTGATGCGCTTTTGCTGTGCAGACGCTCTCTTTCAGAAGAAGCATTTTTTTGGGGGGGGGAAGATCTCTTCTGGAAAAGCTTCTTCTGAAAGAAGCCTGCAGTCTAGACATAGCCTCACATCCACTAGGATTCTGGGCCACGCTGCTCTAATTTAGAGTATCCCGAAGGAGCTAGCTCAGAATCTGAACAATGCAAAGGTGGCATCAAGCCACCATCTATGTTCATTTCCCCCAACTGGGCAGTGCCGCTTCTCTCTTGGAATCTTTAACAGGGCTGTTTCTGAGACTCTTCAAGGATAGATATTCATATTTATAGTCACCAGAGCTTTGCTGGGGTCTGCCTGCAGTTGCGGTTGGAGGAGGAAGCAGAAGGGGGAACTCCCTGGAAAAGGATCCCTGGGAAAAGGGGCAGGAAAAGGAATTCCTTTTATTGGGAATAGGGTGATGCTGGAGACTTCTGAATAAGGAATGGGAGTGTGAAGAACTAATAAATGAAAGTTCTTCTTCACACAACGTGTAGTCAACCTGTGGAACTCCTTGCCAGAGGAGGCTGTGAAGGCTAAGACTATAACAGAGTTTAAAGAGAAGCTAGATAATTTCATGGAGGTTAGGTCCATAAAAGGCTATTAGCCAGGGAATAGAAATGGTGTCCCTGGCCTCTGTTCGTCAGAGGCTGGAGAAGGATGGCAGGAGACAAATCACTTGATCATTGTCTTCAGTCCACCCTCTCTGGGGCACCTGGTGCTGGCCACTGTCGGCAGACAGGCTACTGGGCTAGATGGACCTTTGGTCTGACCCAGTACGGCCATTCTTATGTTAGGAGCTGTAATGGATGAGATCTTTGCACATCGAGGAGTGTTGGGATGGAAGCATAGTAACAGGTTACAAAGATTTTTCAGGCTTGCATATATATGACTATTAATGTTCCAGGATTGTTGAGAAAGAGTTCTCATCAGACACATCATGAGGATAGATGACTAACATCCCACCTCTGCCATTTTTAGGATCAACATCTATATTTGGGTTCCCAAAGATGCTGGCTAATTCTTTGAGTCTTTCCTGCTAGGAACTGAATGACTCAGATGCAGCCTACAAGAAAAAGCCCCTAACTTGAGAAAAATGTGATTGATATATCAGCCTTACTACCATAAAAATAATTTTAAAAAAGCAACAGCGTCACAGCAAACCTGATATCCCTTTGTATGGGTCATTTAAAATTATGTGGAAGGCCCCTGTGATCCATTAAATGTGGTTTTGCGATACTACACTTCCTACAGAAGAAATAAACCCCCTCATGGAGGCTGGATGACACAGGACTTGTAAAACAGGGAGAGAACCTCTGGCCTCGTGGTTATTGGCTTTAATCAGCCTAAACTGGCAGTCACCCAAAGTCATTACCATCCCCTGACTTACTCAGAGATGGCCTATGAGAAATCAATGAGTCATTCAATCCACTTCTCACTAGACAGAGTGCTTATGGCAGAAGCCCCATCACAGTTTGCCACTAGTGCTGCTATTTTGTGCAGTCTTGACCTAGAGCTAAACTACTGTCACCCCACCCTACTTGACAGAACTGTAACATATAGGGGAGGTGGAACTGCTGCTTCCAGTCACCTGTTATTTATTACTTTGAGTTCAGGCCTAGGTGCCACTGAAATACATCAGTATTCAATGGATCGCTATGACCTTAGAGCAGTGGCTCTCAAACTTTTTGGCCAGTGGCTCACCCAGCTAAATGCAAAACTTTCTGAAGACCACCAGCCAATCTCCCATGGGGTATGTCTACACTACAAAGTTAGTTCGAACTAACGGACGTTAGTTCGAACTAACTTTAATAGGGGCTACACTAGCGCTCCGCTAGTTCGAATTTGAATCGAACTAGCGGAGCGCTAGTGTAGCCCCTATTAAAGTTAGTTCGAACTAACGGACGTTAGTTCGAACTAACTTTAATAGGGGCTACACTAGCGCTCCGCTAGTTCGAATTTGAATCGAACTAGCGGAGCGCTAGTGTAGCCCCTATTAAAGTTAGTTCGAACTAACGGACGTTAGTTCGAACTAACTTTAATAGGGGCTACACTAGCGCTCCGCTAGTTCGAATTTGAATCGAACTAGCGGAGCGCTAGTGTAGCCCCTATTAAAGTTAGTTCGAACTAACGGACGTTAGTTCGAACTAACTTTAATAGGGGCTACACTAGCGCTCCGCTAGTTCGAATTTGAATCGAACTAGCGGAGCGCTAGTGTAGCCCCTATTAAAGTTAGTTCGAACTAACGGACGTTAGTTCGAACTAACTTTAATAGGGGCTACACTAGCGCTCCGCTAGTTCGAATTTGAATCGAACTAGCGGAGCGCTAGTGTAGCCCCTATTAAAGTTAGTTCGAACTAACGGACGTTAGTTCGAACTAACTTTAATAGGGGCTACACTAGCGCTCCGCTAGTTCGAATTTGAATCGAACTAGCGGAGCGCTAGTGTAGCCCCTATTAAAGTTAGTTCGAACTAACGGACGTTAGTTCGAACTAACTTTAATAGGGGCTACACTAGCGCTCCGCTAGTTCGAATTTGAATCGAACTAGCGGAGCGCTAGTGTAGCCCCTATTAAAGTTAGTTCGAACTAACGGACGTTAGTTCGAACTAACTTTAATAGGGGCTACACTAGCGCTCCGCTAGTTCGAATTTGAATCGAACTAGCGGAGCGCTAGTGTAGCCCCTATTAAAGTTAGTTCGAACTAACGGACGTTAGTTCGAACTAACTTTAATAGGGGCTACACTAGCGCTCCGCTAGTTCGAATTTGAATCGAACTAGCGGAGCGCTAGTGTAGCCCCTATTAAAGTTAGTTCGAACTAACGGACGTTAGTTCGAACTAACTTTAATAGGGGCTACACTAGCGCTCCGCTAGTTCGAATTTGAATCGAACTAGCGGAGCGCTAGTGTAGCCCCTATTAAAGTTAGTTCGAACTAACGGACGTTAGTTCGAACTAACTTTAATAGGGGCTACACTAGCGCTCCGCTAGTTCGAATTTGAATCGAACTAGCGGAGCGCTAGTGTAGCCCCTATTAAAGTTAGTTCGAACTAACGGACGTTAGTTCGAACTAACTTTAATAGGGGCTACACTAGCGCTCCGCTAGTTCGAATTTGAATCGAACTAGCGGAGCGCTAGTGTAGCCCCTATTAAAGTTAGTTCGAACTAACGGACGTTAGTTCGAACTAACTTTAATAGGGGCTACACTAGCGCTCCGCTAGTTCGAATTTGAATCGAACTAGCGGAGCGCTAGTGTAGCCCCTATTAAAGTTAGTTCGAACTAACGGACGTTAGTTCGAACTAACTTTAATAGGGGCTACACTAGCGCTCCGCTAGTTCGAATTTGAATCGAACTAGCGGAGCGCTAGTGTAGCCCCTATTAAAGTTAGTTCGAACTAACGGACGTTAGTTCGAACTAACTTTAATAGGGGCTACACTAGCGCTCCGCTAGTTCGAATTTGAATCGAACTAGCGGAGCGCTAGTGTAGCCCCTATTAAAGTTAGTTCGAACTAACGGACGTTAGTTCGAACTAACTTTGTAGTGTAGACATACCCATGATGACAAAATGGGTGCAGGAGGGGGTGAGATGCAAGATCTGGCTAGGAGATAGGGTGCAGTAGTACGCTGAAGATGGGGGATCTGGACAAGAGATAGGGTACAGAAGTGGGCTGAAAGTGTGGGATCTGGCTATTAGTTAGGGTGCAGGAGTGGGGTGGGGGTGCTGGGTGTGGGTGGGAGGTGTGTGTGAGTGGTTTGAGGTGCAGGATCTGGGCATGAGGAGGGGTGCTTTATCTGGCTCTGTCTCCCATCACTCCCAAGCACTGCCTCCCCCCGCTCCCATTGGCTACGATTCTGGCCAATGGGAGCAGTGGGAAAGCCTCCAGGAGAGTGGTTTCCTGTGCTGCCATTTCCCCAGCCATGGGGAAGGGGAGCAGGAACACACAGACCCACTTCCTCCTCCTGTGAGCCAGATCCACCCCATGAGGCTTGGGGCTTCCCGCCCTCGAGTGAGAATGCGGTGCTGGCAATTCTGCTCACAAGGGTGGGGCTGCAAGACAGTCATGGACCACTAGTAGTTCACGGACCCCACTTTGAGAACCACTTCCTTAGAGATTGTAACTGATTCCAAGGCCATTGTGCTCAGTACTGTACAAACAGGAGACAATTGCTACCCCAAAGAGTTCACAATCTAAATAGACAAGATGGGCAAAGGCTGAATTATTATTCTCACTTCACTGACAGGGAGGCACAGAAGAGATTAAGTGACTTTCCAAAGGCTCCAGAATTTGTGGCAGTGCTGGCAATTGGCCCTAGACCTTCTGAGTCCCAGTCCAGTGCCTCATTAACCATATGAGACCAGCTATTCTGTCACACCAATAAATCACTGCTGAATTTCAGGTCTCAGTACCGTCACTGGCATTTTTCCAAGTAACATAACTGCTTCCACTCCTAGGCTACGTCTAGACTGCCATGACTTTCCGCAAATGCTTTTAATGGAAAAGTTTTTCCGGTAAAATCATTTGCGGAAAAGAGCGTCTAGATTGGCACGGACGCTCTTATCTAGACGCGGTTTCGCGCAAGAAAGCCCTGATCGCCATTTTCGCGATCGGGGCTTTTTTGCGCAAAACAATACCGCGTTGTCTACACTGGCCCTCTTGCGCAAAAGCATTTGCGCAAGAGGGCTTTTGCCCGAACGGGAGCAGCATAGTATTTCCGCAAGAACACTGTCAATCTTACAGGAGATCGTCAGTGTTCTTGTGGAAATTCAAGCGGCCAGTGTAGACAGCTGGCAAGTTTGCTGCTTTTGCGGAAAAACTTGCCAGTCTAGACGCAGCCCCAGCGTTGGTGACAATGCTCAGAAGTTTCAAACAGAAATGAGGAAATACAGGATTTTTTAAAAGAAGTGTTACAAGCAAAAAGGCCAGGTCTGATTCTTGTTACCTCTTTTTCTTTAATGAACTTTTCTGCCATCTTCTGTGCTTGTTCTAATTTCTCACTTGGTGCTGGAGCACAGTTCATAGACAGTGTCTTTCCTCTCGTTTTCTTTCCTTCACCTTCACTATCTCCTGATGTGCTCTCATTGTTTGACTCATCCAGATGTTCAGAGGCAGTTGTGGTGGCAGTTTCCTGAGATCTGATCATAATAACTGTAAGGCTGTATTACTGGCGATGTTTATTTCAGATTCATCTGTTAATTGCTATGAGGCATTTAAACATAAAACTGGGTACAGTGCTTAAAAATATAACCACAGCAGCTAACTTACATTTAATTATTAGGCTAGAGCCTATAACCTCGATCAAGGTTTTTTTTTTTTTTTTTTTTTTTAAACAGACTAGTTGTCTGATGGGAGATGATTTATATTAACAAAGCCACTCTTTGCCCCGAATACTCAATATAAGTGAAGAGGGAGCTTTTATCACCCACTAAAACAAAGAGAATGGTTCCTACAGTGGGGAAGGGAAGAAAGGTGGACTAATAGATAATGGGGCAGACAATAAAAATAAAGATTACTCTTTAAAAAGAAAAGCTTATTAACTTACAAGTGAGAGTCCATAGCACCATGACTTGAATCTGTAGGGATATATATCAGGCTATCTTGCATCATCTTCTTATCAAGAAATACTATGGAGGTCTGAACTGCTACCACCCTCAGCCAGAGGTTGAATATAATATGCCGAAAACTGCTCAGAAGTAACATGAATGAAATGCATTTTCTCACAAAATAAACTGGAACAGAACACCCAGTGACCAGTTAACTTCAGAATTATCAATGAGCTCACCAAAACTATCTGTTACCACATGCTTCCTCTACTTGTATCTCATGTCTTCAGCCCCCTGGAGCCCTGTTTCTACAGCAATGCAAATAAAGAGTACAAAATATTTTATTTGTATTGCAGTGGTACCCCAGCACACACTGTGGTAGGTACTGGAGAAACAAAACAAGACGACAAACCCCCTGCTACAAAGAGCTTCCAAGCTAAGTATAAGATGAGCTATGTCCATTTGACAATCATACTGCATCATTTCTGTTCAGGAGAGAGATTATGTGCATTAAGGTGATAATATTGACCAGGAAGTAAAATTAAGAACATCCTTAAACATCAAACTTTCTAAAGTGTATACAGCTTGTTTTTCCATTTTTCAATTGACTCTCCCCTGTCACTTAGACTGTGACAATCAGCTACAAGTACAGTACATCTAGAAAAGTTTAACTTGCTAACTTGATATATAACCAAGTCAAAATGGAAATGAATAGCTTATTTTTGAGGTGATATTCTGAGTCATCCAGGCCCGAGTACGCGGTTGACCCTCAGTCATACAGAACACTAGAATTTATATCCTTGTTATATGGACATTGTATCTCACCTGAACTATACAGCAGATAGGTTAGATCTGAAAGCATTTGTAGAGTGCTGTCTGGAGTTGCCCTTTACAATTTCCTGTGGTGCATTTGGGTCCACTACAAACTGGGGTGAGAAAGACCAAGTGAAAAGTTGGAGTTTTGGTAGCTGGCTTCACCTCCAATCCTAGAAGAGGAAGTCAGGGTTGGGTAGCCATTTCTTAACTCACTGGTCACAGTGTGATAGAGGGGCTTAATATAGACCAGTGAAGAATCTTCTAGCTCTCTTCTGATGCCAGCTTCAGGGAGTACGTAGCTTGTGAGTTGCCAAGTCCAGTGATGCGGAACTGAAGCAACTGGTGCCTGCCAGAGAAGAGGGTGCAACCAGGAGCCCAAGCCAGAAGAGGAAGGGGACATGCAAGAACACCCCTTTTAGCAATTAAAATTTTGGCAGAGGCATAGGGGGCAATGCACCTCCCAAGTGCTACCATGAGTCACCTATAATGCAGGGTATGGTGTGGTGCCCCCCAGTGAAATAGCTGCTAGTGTAGCACAGTCATTTATTTGTGAGAATTGAGGGAGGAGCCAAAGAGATTCAACAAACACACAGGGACTTAATTAGAGCAATTTTGCATGTACATCTCTGCTGCCGCACTGAATTACAGGCTCTCACTGCTCCTTGACTTTCAGGGTCCGATCACTTCCCCAACCCCAAAAGTATTTCCCTTCACCTCTGTATTTTTACATTCTGATCGGTCAGTTACCTCAGCCCAGACTGCTGGAGCACGAGGGGGCTTCTCCGTTAGTCACCCTGCTCCCACCGTCAGCCCAGGGATTTGATAAAATAGCTGCTGCTGTAATGATGTAAGCAGAGTCAGCACACAGCTCACATGGAGCACAGCAGCTGGAAGCAGAAATCCAGGGTGGTACCTGCTCACTGCACTGGAGATGATGGCCAAGAAGGGACCCCACAACCGAGCAGGGCCTGGGAGCTGTTCTCCGTGGACAGGCTGGTTTTGCCGCCTGCTTCCCCCATGAAAGGCTCCGTCAGACCCAGGCAGGTTCTTTGTTACACTTCTAGTAAGTAAATTATCAGGCTCCCTGACCCCTCCTTTAGCCTGGCTCCTCTCACAGGCACCACCTCCATGCTGTCTCCTTGGTGACAGAACATAGGCCTCAGGCTGTAGCCTTGGTGACAGTTCCCATTCACAGCTCAGAGCAAGTTTTGCCAGATTCAATGACCTAGCAACCATTAGCTCACCAGCCTCCTGCACTCCTTGGCTGTGTACAAACACACACCCTGGCACATGCATATTGTTAGGGATTATTGCTCTATTGTGTGCTTGCCGATTAAAGAGTAGTGTGTGATCTGTGGGGGCCATGCACTGACCTAAGGGCCCTGCTGGGCTAGGCTAAGCGCTTACTAAGGGGCTCTTTAGCCCACTTTCCTTTGATTCCCTAAACCAGTCCAGCAGCCCTTGACTAGGAGTAGGGCTAACTGAGGGAGAACCAGAGTTTAAATAACCAGTTCCTAAAGGACCAGCTGAGCTAGCAAATGTCATCAGCAAGCAGGGAAGGCTTTCACGGGAATGCGAGAGTCAGACACACCTAACATCCTGTAAACTTCACCCCTCAACCCATGCAAAAACACTGTCAGAGTAAAAAGAATCGAGCCAGAAATCCGGGAGATGGCATGTATGTGTGTATACAGTACAAGGAGCTTACGACCCTCAAAGACACAATACAAGCTCTAGAGACCAGAGTAGCTGACCTGGAGGAGCTAAGGGAGATAGAGAGATACATAACAGACTTCAGGAACACAGTAGAGATCCAACCCCTAGTCTGAGATCAAGCTGGAGAAAAAAAAAAAAAAAAAAAACACATTTCCATAATTGGGCTCTTCCCTCCAGATGATGTCCTGGCAGTCTCTCAAACGGAGGATTCTACTCCTGGGGAAGGGACCTCAGTAACTAGGAAAAGCCTGGAAATAGTAATAGAGAATTCAGTTACTGAAAATAGCTGGATTTGTGATGACTGGAGGAACAACATAGTAAATTGTCTTTAGAGAGCATAAATTGCAGACCTTTTCTGAAAGAACCCCATCTAAACTGCTTGCTTTAAAAAAAAAAAAAACTCTTTAGAAAAAGTGACCAGAAGATATGCAAATTCAGCAGTAATTTGCATTTTTTTAAAAAGAAAAACGTAGTCTAGACATACCTTCAGAGTTCTATGAGTGTAAGAGGGTGAGGGAAGGTTACATTCCCCTCCCTTCCCTAGATTGGTGAATTTATTAAAGGGGAAACAAGTACAAAGTGTCTGACACTAAATGAGGATATTGATATAATTGGCATTGTGGAAAATTGGTGGAATGAGGGCGAAAAAAAATCAGTGGAATATGGTAATACCAGAATACAAAATATATAGGAACAACAAAGTAGGTCATGCCGGTAAAGTGGCACTATGTTAAAGAAAGCATAATGTCAAGTACAGTAAAAATTGTAAATGAATCAAACTGTATTATAAAGTCTCTATGAATAGAAATTCCATGCTTGAACAATAAGAGCGCACCAGACCAGGATGGTGATAGTGACTGAAATGCTCAGGGAGATGAAAGGCAGAAATCCCATTAAAATGAGGGATTTCAAATATCCTTGTATTGATTGAATCCATGTGTAAGCAGGATCTGAAGGAATACTTCTCTTACAGGTGGTGGGGGGACAAGACCCTGGATGTGCGTGTCTATGTAAGCACAGTTTGCCCCTGCTTTCCTTAGATTTGTTAGCTATTCAGCAGATGGGATGGTATTTTGTCATTGTAATCAAAATAATTTGTGACCCAACACCAGCTGTGTTTGTATTAAACTCAGCAATAACTGAAATATGGTTACAATGTTTGTAATTTTGTGGGAATACAGAAAAGCAGGACTATAGTAAGTTGTTCCAAAGGAAAGGGCTCACAGCAGAAAACCTTGCTAAGCAGGGGTCAACTATCAGGGTATGTCTAGACTACATTTTTCTTTCTAAAGAAGATATGCAAATTCAACAGTAATTTGCATATCTTCTTTCAATCACTTTTTCAAAGAGTTTTTTCCAAGAAAGTAAGCAGTTTAGACGCGGTTCTTTTGGGAAAAAAAATCCCTTTTTTGTGAAAAAATCTTCTTCCTCAAAAATTGAGGTTTATATGATCTTTTGAAAAAGGGTCTCCCCCCCCCAAAAGAACCGCATCTAAACTGCTTGCTTTCTTGGAAAAAACTCTTTGAAAAAGCGATCAGAAGATATGCAAATTCAGTGGTAATTTGCATATTTTTTTGAAAGAAAAACATAGTCTAGACCAGTGTTTCTCAACCTTTTTTTGCTCATGGCCCCCTTCTGAGGGAAGGTTACATTCTCCTCCCCTCCCCGGATTGGTTTGCCCTGTTTCCCTCCCCAAATACACACACTGTTCAAAAACAGAGCTAAATAGGCATCATTAAGAGCCTCTTTCTTTGCTAAGAGTTGAAATTACTGAGGCTATGTCTAGACTGCAGGCTTCTTTCAGAAGCTATTTTTGGAGAAGATCTTCTGGAAACACCTTCTGAAAGAGAGCGTCCACACACAAAAGTACATTGAAAAAGTGATGTGGTTTTTTTTGAAAGAGAGCGTCCAGACTGATTGGATGCTCTCTTGCATAAAAGGACACCTGGAACCACTTCAGGTAGGGCTTTAGGTCACCAGTTGCTTCCGAGTGCTGGAGCCTTGCAGAGACACGTGCTTAAAGGGACCCACTGGACAGCTGTTTCTCTGCTTCTGCTGAGTGCTTGATACCTCTTTGAGGGACAGCAAAGCTCTTGCAGTGCCTGCTGTGATTGCCCTGCTTTTTTGGATGTCACAGCTTTTCCCTTGGTGCCGTGGAACGGGAGCTGCCCCTGGGCATGTGATGGCCCCACAAGGCCATGCTGCAATTTTTGCAACACTTTGTGCCAGTTGCCTTCCTGGTCCTGACCGAGCTCGACCCCGAGCTCATACTGGGGACCTTCTCCCTAGGTGCGGGAGCTACACTCTGGCAACCGCAACCCACTCTGGAGAGGCGTTTCTGGAGGCTCGATACCAGTTCGGAGTGGTGGGACCAGGCTGGTCATGGAGTGGTGGGACAATTAGTAGTGTCTCCAAAACTTCTGCATGCAGAAGGCTACCTTTTTGGAACTGTGTGCAGGGCTGGCCTTACCATGAGACTAACTGAGGTGGCCACCTCAGGTGCCAGACTGTGGGGGGAGGTGCCACTAGGACCCAAAGTGTAGAAAATTGTGTCTGCTGCTGGTGCAAATATAGGTAGCAGAGCAGTACCATAAGAGGAGTAGAACAGGAAGAAGGCAGAATTGAGACCTTTCAAAGTTTTGGCCCAAGTGAGGGGGCATGGGGGTATCATTTGAGCTCCCCACCTCAGGTGACAAAATGTTGTGGGCCGGCCCTGGCTGTGTGCCTGGATCACCCCCACCCTCTGGAGATGCAACACCCACCTATGGCCCACCATCCTCCTGGAGAAGCAGGACGCAATTGCCTTCTGGAAGCTTGCCACCCCAGAGAGCTACTGGTCGGTGGGCAACCAGTTTGGTGTGGGGAAGTCCACTGTCAGGGCTCACCTGCTGTAGGTAAGGCACTCTCGGGCTGCAGTCCTTGCGGGGGTGGGGGAAACCCTATTAAAGGCAGAGCTTTGGGAAACGGGGGGGTGGAGGCTGTGGAGGGTGGAGTGGGTATGGGAGGAAAGCCCCATCCCCAGGGGGTTGTGCCATCCCTCCCTGCCCTCACACAGTCCTGCTGCTAGGAGGGGGGGGGTGGCACGGTCTCATAGGGCGTGGCTCCTGGGGTGGTTGAGGAGGGTTGGGGAGAAGAGGGGGAGTTTGTCTCCTTCTGCAGGTTGTGAGGGCCATCAACTCCATCCTGCTGCAGAGGGTCATCCACCTGGGAGACCTGGACCTGCTGGTAGCCGTATTTGCTGCCCTGAGGTTCCCAGACTGTACTGGTGCCATTGATGGGACCCACATACCGATCCGAGCACCAGAACATCCAGCGACCCAGTATATTAATAGGAAGGGCTACTTTTCTGTGGTTCTGCAGGACCTGGTCGACCACTGTGGACAGTTCACAGACATATTTGTCGGGTGGCCGGGCAGGGCAGATGATGCCCCTGTCTTCAGAAACTCCAGTCTCTATGAGAAGCTGGAGTCGGGCACATTCTTCCCCCACCATGACTTTGCGGTTGGGGATGTACAGATGCCACTGTGCATCGTGGGGGAATGCAGCCTACCCCCTCATACCATGGCTAATGAAGCCATATACCAGACACCTGAACCCCAGCAGAGACCAATTTAATTCCCCCCTGAACCAGGCCAGGATCCAGGTGGAGTGTGCCTTCGGCTGCCTCAAGCCACTGATCAGTGGCCTCCTGACCCACCTCGAGGTGGGGGAGAACAACTTCCCTGAGGTGGTGGCGGCAGCAGCATGTTGTGTCCTCCACAACATTGTGGAGAGGAAGAGGGAGGCCTTCCTCCTGGAGAGTTTGAGGGGGCAGACGCTGGTTGCCAGGGGCAAGCCTTCCAGTAGCCGAGGACAGCTGCCATCTGGGAGGCCCTGAGGGAGAGGTTCTCTCAAGGACCCCAGTAACTCTCCCCACTAGGGGCCTCTGGCTTGGAGCCTTATCCCTTCCACACCACAACCTCTCCCTTTGCCTCTTCCCTGACCTCTCAATAAGGACACCTGTTTGGTTTTCAACAAAACAAAGTGTGTATTTAGATTACAAATCAAAAAAGGTGGGCAAGGGAGCCGCTAGATGTGCCACCTCAGGTGCAGGGATCTCATCGGAGTTGGGGTTGGGTGGGTCCAGACCGGGGGGAGGGGCGGGCTGGATCGGAGTCAGGGATGGCACGGGGAGGAGGCATAGGCATTGCATGAGGGGCAGGTGGAAGGGGAATGGGTATAGCAGAGGGGGCAGGAGGGTAGAAGCCAGGACCAGTGATAGAGGTGCTCCTCTCAGGTTGGCTTCCTGCTACAAGGCTTGTCCAGGGTGCCTGCAGCTTTAAGAGGGGCTAGGAGACAGGAATTATAGAGTCCTGATTAATTTGGACAGAGTATCCACCAGGGAGGCCTCTTCTTTCGTGGAGGCCTCTTCTTTCAAAAGAAAACCCTCCTTCCTGTCCACACGCGCCTTTTTCCGAAAGACTTCTTTCGGAACAAGGCTTCTCCCTCATGGAAAGAGGAGTACCGCTGTCGGAAAA